AATAAATAAAAAAATAATAATAATAATAATAATAGACCAGTCCATCTAGTCAAATGTTCAAAAAGAAAAATTCCACCTTCCTAGTCAGAAGGGCAGAGTGCTGGTTTGGAATAAAGAGTTATTTCTGTTACTTGGAAATGTATCTTTAGAGACAAGTCTGTGCTCCCAGCCAAGTCTTGATTGCTTTATCTCTATAAAGGGGACAGTAGTCCCAAACACCAAATGCCAAATTTGATATCTGTGTGGATTGCTAAAATAACACAGAAAAGGTCCCTGGGGGGGTCGGCTGGGTGGCAGAGCGCGTGCCTGGTATGTGCGAAGCCTGGGGCTTGACCCCCACCATAAAATAAATATATAAATAAATGAGAATTTTGTTTAAGTCCCTGTTACACCAAGCATGCTCAGCAAATGGCAGATACTACCATTCTCATTTCTGATTTCTCCAAAGAAGGAAACCCAGCTTAAGGCAGCATACAAAGGGCACGCAGCTCATTTCAGATAGAAACAATAACACAATTTGGTGTGGTTTCTTGGGGGGCGGTTGTTTGTTTGTTTGTTACTTTATCACATTCTTCCTTCTGCCCTGTACTGCTTAAAGAAGAAGACTTTGTTCCTTCTCCTGCATTTGACATGCTATGGTAAGGAAGGTATCAGGGCTGTGGGATATTAGCGTATAAAGGTCCTCCCCTCTCTGACCTCCTTCCTCTCGCGGCAGACCTGCCTTTCTCAAGGTCGGACACCAGCAGAGCTGACCTCGGCAGCTCAGGTACTCAGGAACTGATAGGCTCCAGCCCTTCCCTCCCACCACCGCTCCTCAGTCTTCACCCGCCCCCTGCTCCCCGCCTCCTGAGGCGCTCTCTTCCCCGGAGCAGGCCGCTCGCCTGGGCAGTCACAAAGATTCTTTGTAATATGTTTACAGGAGGAAGGGGCCTGGCTGTACTCTAACCACTTCGGTCCACCAGCCCTGTTTACACAAGGAAAGAGTGGGTCGGGGCAGATGACCTTGTTGCTTGGGGACTGGGATAAAACTCTTCGCCAAACTCCAGGGCTGCCTTGTTTCTGGGCTGCACCACACAGAAGCTGGTCAGAGGAGTCCCTGGGCCCGGGGAGGCTTGTTTACTCGGCTGCATGAGAGATGTTTGCACAGGGCGGGAGTTAGCAGCAGCCATCTGGCTGTTCTCGGGCAGAGAGTGGAGTATTTGCAGGTCGAGAAACCTCTGTGCTCCTGGGGTCCCTGCTAGGCAGCCCCCTCCCCCAACATCTTTCTGAGATGATTCTCGCTTCTCTGAGAATGAACGGTGACAATTTGAGGAGATTGCTAAAAGATATCCACTTATACATTTTTTCCTATTAAGTTCATACCTAAACAACAACAAAAAAATGTGTAGTTTTATTTTGCAAGGTGATAAGAAAAGCAGTTTTCTCACTTAAAGAATGGTGATGTGAACTGGGGATGTAACTCAGGGGTAGAGCAGTTGCCTAACACAAGTGTGGCTCCAGGTTACATCAGAGAGAGAGAGAGAGAGGAGAGGAGAGGAAAGGAGAATGGGAGAGAAGGGAGGGAGGGAGGAGAAGGAAAGGGAAAGGGGACAGTCCTGGTTAGCAGCTCTAAGTACTTGGCAGTTTGCAAAGCATTATCCTATTAGTAATATAACAGCAGGTGGGTGGGGAGCTGTCACCAAAATCATCTCTGTTTTACAGATGAGGAATTGAGATGTGGAGAGGCCAAGTCACTTGCATAAAACCACACACACAACAAGAGGCAAGGGCCAGGGTGCGCCTCCAGCCTTTATGCTCTTTCCACTACGCCACACTTCCTCCTCATTTGGCTATGAAGTGAGGCAAGCAGAGAACCTGTCCAGTATGTAACCACCTTGCGGATGGCTCTCAGGAGAGAGCCTTACACCTCAGAGACATGGTGGAAGCCAAAATGGTTGGCTGTACTGCACTGCTTAGGGACCTGCAGTCTGTCCACGGATACCATCAGTCTCACCTGTGGATGGACTGGCCCCACCTGAGAGGACCCAAGAGAACTTCCTTCTCCCTCTGACTTACCTTTCTGCAGTGCAGCCGACTGCGCCTTCTCATTCCTGTTCTTAATACTTGAAAGCAGGAGAAATAGCACCCTGAACCGAAAAACCATGATTCTCCAAGTCTGATGTTCTCTCAGTAACAGGAAGCACCAGCCCAGCACATGCTGCAGTCTGTGTTATAGGAGATAGGATGTGGCAAACTGGGGAAATGGGCGGAATTAGTCAATTACAAGATTCCAGGACAAGAGGAAAGTCCATATGCAGGACTTCTTATCAGCTCATATGCAGAGGTATATGGCACAAAAGAACAGCAGCCATCACAGAAATCCACTATTCTGGGAGTTTGCACAGTAGCCAGTACTTTAATTTTGCTTTTTACCCTCTTTATTCTTTGTTCTGCAGAGTTGGTTTTTCCCATATCCATTTACCCCAAGTTTTTCAAATAAACTTTTTGGCACCCTTATTGGCTTGTCTTGTTCAATTATTTCTTTGAGGCAAGAAGGACCTGGAACACTTTTGATTGTCAAGCCATTTCTAAAGGAACTATCCTATAACACCAGCACTCTGGCGGACTAAAGCAAGAGCATCACAAATTCAAACCCAGCCTGGGCAACTTAGTGACTTATTAGCAAGACCCTATCTCAAAATTTTAAACTGTGCAAAGGCCCTGGGTTCAACCCCCCATACTACAAAAATAAACAAATAATTAGAAGCGCCAGAGATATTTTTGTAATTGTGCACATAATAACCTCAAAAAACTAAAAAATATCCTCAAAACAGCTAAGCTTCTTACACAATCTGTTAGAAACCTGCGAGCTACATTCATCAAGTCCAGAACCATTCAGCATCAAAAAAAACCTTTAGATTACTAAATTTTTTTTCTTTTTGCTACTACAGATTGAACCCAGGGCCTTGCACATGCTAGACAAGCACTCTTTGGCCATCTGTGAGGCTATCCCTTCCTGAGGCAAAGCTTTTTCTTACATTTTACAAAGATTTCCTTACAATCAGCCAAGAATTGGTGCCCCTAATAATTCCCATATGGTGCCTTTACTTTGTCTAACAGAATCACAAAGGAGAAGTCTATTTCTTTTTCCACACATAGAGGCAAGATTCATGCATTCTTATGTACTGAATTGTTCACCTACTTCAAATTCATATATTGAAGTCCTAACCCTGGTACTTCAAAATGTGTCTGCACTTGAAGATAAGTCATTTAACGAGATCATTAAGTTAAAAGCAGATCATCAGGGTGGGCCCTCACCCTATATGTCTGGTGTCCTTATAAGAAAAGATTAGGACACAGACCTAAGAGGATAGACCAGGTGAAGACACAGGCGGAAGATTGGTCAGGTTAAGAAGAAAGGTCCGAGGAGGGACTGAACCACCAATGCTTTCATCTTGGACCTTTACCCTCTAGAATTGTGGAAAGTAAAAATTTGTTGTTTAAGCTGCACAGTCCAGGGCACTTTGTTATGGTCACTATAGGAAACAACCCAGGCCCCTTCCCAATCTCCTCCTCGGCCTAAACACATCCTGTTCCTCTCACTGAGCCCTGGAAGAGATTTCTTTACCCTTCCCTGTGTTGGCAACCGTCATGGTGGTCTAGATCTGAAATGAATCCAACAGTCTCATGTGTTTGGAAGATGACTGGATGATAAGCACTGTCCCTCACTTGCTATTAGGAGATGGGGTCTGATTGGAAATGCAGGTCCCTGGGGGCATGACCTGGAAGAGTATGTCTCCCTCTCAGGCTCCTCCCTTCTCTTCTTCTGGGCCACCATAATACGAGCAGCTTTCCTCACCCAGGCCCTTCCACCACTCCACTCCTCCTGCCTTGGATCCAGCCAACCATGTACTGAAAACAAGAGTTAAAATAAATTCTCTGCCTTTAAGTTATGGATGTTGGGGATTTTGTTCCAGTGACAATAAAATGACCAAGACACAAACAGCTGTACCCCAATTTGTTCCATGGTCTGGAAAGTGAAGCCCAGATCTGTGCCCTGTGCCCAAGTACCCTGACGTCAAAGTCATCCCACATCATGATGGGATTCTCTACAGCTGTCCGTGGACTCCAAGATTTCTTCAACTTTCACTGACTTACACTCTTGGCTCATATCAGTCTTAGATTCTTAATTTGATTTCTTTTGCTATTAAAAAAAAATACCTGGGACCAAGTTAATTTATAAAGAATATAAGTTTGTCTTTCAGTTCTGGAGATGCACCAGCCTCTGTTCAGCACCTGGTGAGGGCCTTGTTCTGCATCATAACATGGTAGATAGTATTATACACAGCTAGCAAACTTACTATTTTCTACATAAAGCAGTATCTCCAGATATTTATCCTTTGTACTATGCTTGGGGTTCGTCATTCTGATGTTTTAAGATTTAATGACCAAGCCTGTTTTACCCCACTCACATCCTCTATAATTTTTCAGACTTGTTAGTCTGAAAAACATACCTCTTAGACTTCTGTTTCCAGCCACAAGGCAGATCGAGAATGAGAGAAGCCTTCCTGGTACAAGACAGTGAAAAATAATGGGATCGGTGCAGATGGTATCTCTCTGGAATGCATGAATGAACTGATGGGAAAGCAAGGAAATTCCTAGCACGCCATAAATGACAAGAAAGCAACAAGCCAAGGGAATAAGCATGCCCAAGAGCACTTTGCCCTGGGTTTTCTACCCATCTCTGGTATCTGGAATGTGGATTTCACCAGGCCGTGGATGAGGGGTACAGAAGACAGACATGAACCTGAATTGAGCCCTCTCCCTAAATCCAGAAACCTGAAAAGGCCATACTCTTTAATTAGAATAAAACCCATCCTGAAGAGGAAGAAAATGGGCATACACACCTGTCTGGACCTTCCCGAGCCATAATGCCACCCTTACAAAGGTTTTGAGGCCCCCAAATCACATGATCTGCATAGCCCTAAAGATGTCTGGCTAAATTTAGTTCATAGTAACTCTTGACATGCATGTTCCAGGGTGCACAATAGAATCAAACAGACTCTCTGTGTGGGACCTCACAGAGAGGACCTCAGGAAACTCATGAAAGAAAAGTCACTTGATACATGAGGAAATATGTCTCACAATTTCCTGGGCTAAGCTCAAACTTGCTATCCTCCTGACTCAGCCTCGCACAGTGCTAGGATTACAGGCCTGCACCACAACACCTGGCTCCTCCGCCAGCTTTTACAAAATGAATGAAAACTGAAAACTCACAGTTGGTTGGATGCTTTTTGGAACTTGAATTTCTTCAAGGGAACTTGCCAGGATTTAAGCACTATACCTCTTTGTGATTGTAAATCATTATGTTTTATGATTCTTTCAACACTTTTGTCTTTGAGTTCTTTCAAAACTCTTGGATGGGATGCCACCTGACCTCATTCGCTAAACTTGTTTGCCAACAGGTCTAGAACCTTGGGGTTACAACACTATTTCCAGTAGTTCCTATGATTACTTGTGGGACTTGCAACCTCATTTCTTACAATATATCCTTAGGAAATGTTCAGAGGTGTCTAAGAATTATGTACAGACATGTTACCTTTATCACAGTACCACTATGAAATTGTCTATTTCATTACTTATAGAATTATTGACCCCTTTCCCCTCATATGGATGTAAACTTCATCATTTCTTCTGCTAATTAATATAATGCCAAGAATAGCAATAATGATGCTCACATGACAGGCCGCATGAGTGTTTACTGCTCCCAAGCACTGTGCTACATATTTTATACACATTACATCATTTGACTCTCAAAAGGCCTTATGAAGCTAGTATACTGATCACCATTAATGATAATTATCAATTAGTAATCCTTATCTTTTACAAATGAAGAAACTGAAGGTGTATAGAGGGTAGTAAAAGACCCCCCACTGGTGCACAAAAAAAAATCCCCCTATTGCATAACTAGTTAGTGATGGAGCTGAGACTGGAGCCTAGCTCCATCGACTCTGACCTTTATGCTCTGAATAAGTACACTATGACTGGTGAGAGTTAAGGGAATCCAAGCCAGTTCCTCAAGTCATTCCAAGGAATAGGCTCTCTGAGAAGAGATCTTAGATACTTATCCAGTGTGGTAGACATGTTGGATAATCTACTTAAATCTGTGCCCCTAGTACTACTGATCTGAGCCGTTATGGCTTTGCCCTCCTGGCAGAGCCCTGATTCTCTTTAGGGTTCCCACTTTCTATATAGTTCACAGGTACCCTCTCCAGTTATTCACTCTTCATAAGGCTCAGCCAATCATGGTTAATCCCATTCTCCTCTATGAATTGATGGCTCTTGGCATGGACATGTAATGCTGTTCTAGCTGAAGAGATGGAGAACTCTACTAGAAATAGGGGTAGGTGGTCAGCAGGGAATTAGGAGAATTTTCTTTATTCTTAAAAGGGAACACAAGGGGAAGACCTCTGAATCCTCATAAGTCCCTATATGTGACTGCACGAAGAGGAACTGATTGGAACTATGACAGCCTCCTTAGGATCATGAGAGAAGACAGCCAAAAGTGCTTCTTAAGTGAGTTGCAAATTTTTCTCACTTGTCTTGTAATTTTATAATTTAATTCTTATAAAACTGGTTTTAGAGCAATTTTAACTTTAATATGTACTACTTTGTTTTTCTTGGTACCAGGAATCGAACTCGGGACCTTGTACTTGCCAGGCAGGTGTGGTGCCACTGAGCTAAATCCCCAGCCCAATATCTACTACTTTTATGGCTTGTGTCCTTGGTACTGCTTGAATTGAAATTGTGTCTGCTAACTGATAGAAACTGAAAAACAGGCAAAAATAAAAACTTTAAAATCACATAACCAGGAAGGACAAGGTGTCAAGTAGCATTATAGAACATAAGGATCAGGTACCACCAGGTCTCTATGTTCTTCATCTTTCTTTTCGCTCCTTGTCGGTCTTATTTTCTCACTGTGGCAATAACCAAAAGCAGGGCTAGAATACCCATGTGTTCAGTTTCATGAACAAAGAGCAATTCAAAGAATCTCCAGGTGACTCACATTACTGACCAGAGGAGTGGTTAGCCCAGCTTGCGTGAAAAATTCACCTCTAAACCAGCCACTGTGGCTGCAGGGCAGACTCATGCAAGAAGACATCTGCCACATGTTCATGGCAAGAATGGCAAGAAGATCCTCAGAAGAGGAGGATTTTTCTGTACTGGGTTTGAACCCAAGGCCTTCGTAACAAGCTACAGTCCCCAGCCATTTTTTAATTAATTAATTTTATGATACATTTAAGGTATACAATGTACGGACATTCATCATTGGAAATTTACACCTTTACCTAATCCACCTTGGTTCTTATTTTTTCCCCATTCCCCTGCCCTCCCTTCAACCCCTCCACCCCACCCTATCTACAAAGACTTTGTTTCCATTTTTTCTTTTTCTCATGTTAATTCCACTCCCATCTTTCTTTTCCCTTATGCCTCCCCTTTCCCCTTCC